TTAGAACTTTTAAAGTCTTTTAAAACGGCTTGTGATTGGTCTGCCCAGTGACTTTGTTTTTGATAAACTCACTGGATACCTGTACCTGTATGCGATTTTAAAGAATTCAGCTAAAGCAGGTAATTACAATGCACAAATCAGTTGGCTTAGCAACAAGATGAATTCTGCAATACTATTACATTATATTCATACCCAACAACTAATCCATCACGTAACTAACCCTAACTTTCTATAAAGAGTCATTGATTTGCAGAGTAAACAAATCAGTCTCCCTTGTTATTTCCATCTTTTGTTTTCTTTGATATCAACATAACAGTAACATCACATGTTGGAGTGGAAACAATGATTTTTTTAAGCCAATACCAAGTTGGTCTAGATATTTATTACAAAATCATGTTGAAGGCAAATAAACCAGACTTTACACCTGCAATCATTTAACAAGCTGTTGCCAAAATATTTAACAAAACTCCCTTCTTCACTTCTACAGGGTTTACTATTATACAATATACTATTGTTTAACTATTATATAATATCACTTTTATTATTCACTGTCACTGGACAAGTGCGGTAGGGGAATGTTTATGTTCACGATTTCTGTAAATAAAAATCAATCAAAAATCAGTTCCCTTTTATCCACAAGGGGTCACTGTGTACCATCAAGCGTATAAGTCCGTTATAGTTTATATTAATAAATACACTTAAAATAAAAGCGGTGTTGAGTCACAACATCATTTTGGAATCGAATCTAAAATGGTTCACAGAATGATTTAATTATTAAAATACTACAAACGTGTACACATTTGTTAGATTGTTACAAAGGTTCAAAACTGCTGTGCTTTGAAACGGACTAAAACTCAATCTCCCAGCACTTTATTTTATTTTTTTTTACACAAAATTTATTTTTTAAAACGTATTCGCAAAACAATAATAATAATAATAAGTACATGACTTAGCCTACTAATATGACGAGTGCTGAAGTTTTAAAATGTAATATTCTTCACTGTATCATTCCACGTGTCTGTGTTCGCTTTATAGAATTCTTTTGGAATGTTTTCATTGGAGCAAAACGAAACAGATACTCCATTGTTAAATGCTGTGCCGATTATATCGAGTAAGCCTACAGCAGAACTACATGTAAACAGTGAACCTCCTGTCGTCAAAAAGCTCTGTCATGCTTCCACAAGAAATGTTTATTTGCTTTATTGCGCAACTCGTTTGCTTTATTACGTCTGAACCCTCGAGAGGGACGGCCAATTGTCTGAGGAGCTAACAATGTAACTCAATAACAATACTCCACCCGCAGAATACTTTGTTCTCTGAAAATCTGATCCGTTTACCTGATGATAACAGAGCCGCGTGCGCCGCAGACCAGCAGAACCGGCTCACCCGCCTCTCTGTGTTTGACCATCAATCAATGCTACTGTACTTCACAAACAAAACCAGCAGACAAACATGCTGGAAATATATTTTAATGCAAAAAAATCTTTAACAACAATGCACACAAAATCTACTTTGGTGGTTGAGAATGGTTTTAAAATATATCGTATTAGTTATTACGAAATTAAGGCCGTTTCACACCATTACATACAAACATCTGTATTGAAAATGCAAGTGTTCCCTCTTCATATTCACAGATCAAACTTGAACAGGACATGACAACATTGATCATCCTTTGCATGACTATCAAAGGAAAGCTGGTATTTCACAGCGATACAAAATCTAGTTTTAAGTCATCCAAAGTCTTTGAGATTTGAACGCAGATGCTTTTTTAGAGCCCCAATTTATTTATTATTATTACCATATATAGTTATATCAATTTTCTCTTTGGGAAGGCGATTCCTGTTACAGAAAATCTCTTAAGGCAACCCTGGAAAAAAAAAAACAATAGTTGGCAAGTTTCAGATTCAGGAAACTGAAACCTTATATTATTTAAAAAATATAATAATAATAAAATAAAATATTTCAGGAATATAAAAAAAAAATAAAAAAAATAATCCTAATGTTCCAAACCTGTATTATTGTCTTTATTTAAAAACCAAAAGGAGGTATTAGGAAGAATGTTCAAGCCTCCAGCTTCCATACAATTAACATGGATGGTGATTTAAACTACCAAGCTCTACAAAAGAACAAAAATGCATCATACATTTATTATAATAGTCAATATGAATTATGTGCTATATTCCAAGTCTTCCAAAACCATAATTTGATTTTTATCCCTCAGCTTTAAAATCCCATTTGCAGTCACATATTTTAAAACATCCTATACGTTACTGGTCACAAAACATGTCAAAGACGTCACTTCTGGTGCAAGGCATCTAGGTTTAATATAAGCATGAACAAAATTTGTCAACTCTGAAAAAGACTGTCTATTTTGTTGTGGAGACTAACATTATATAATAGAGAAAATATGTGACTGGAATGACATTAGGGTGAGTAAATCGTGAGTACGACTGTTTCTGAGTGAATTATTCCTGTAAGGTACTGATTTTAAAGCAGTGGTGCCAGTGAACACTAACATTCCTGCTCATCCACACGGCCTAAAAATAGCGCTAGTCGATGCTAACTGAATCTGAAAAGCTTGAGGGAAGGGAGGTGCTGGTGTTTATTGGCAGGCCTTTACTCGTCCTGTGACCTGTGAGGCACCGGTGAAGTCAAGAAGAGTGTTGAGGCATGTTCACCTGATATTTCCTCCGCTGAGGAGTCTAAAGTGCTGCTAATGGAATTCCTGCAAGAAATATAGCACAGACTGTGCTGAAACAACACCTCCACACTGATCATTCACAGCACTGTTTGAGTCCCGATGCTGCATTGTGGCACACCGTGCGGTTTGAGGCCCATCGGGCCGACAGCTGATGGAGCGAATGACTGTCATGCCAGAGAGGATTCCTCTACCACACGCCACGCACACATGCAATGAGCTAACAGCACTGCGGAGGCCGCATACTGAGCTTTCCCTCTGCCTAAACTAGGTTCAGATGGGATATTCATTCATAATCAAAACCATCGATCAGGAAGGGGTTGTTCAGACTGAAGCCTCGAACAGAACAGCCATCGGCAGTCTGAAAGGCCACTGTATATGAAATTCCCATAAAACCAGTCAGATCATATTTCTGTGGTGCCCCGCACATGATATGTGGACAAAATCATATTCATTGTGGCCACGAATGAATAACAAGGTAGCAAGGTAACAAATTAGTACGATGTGGCAACAATTTACTCAAACAAGGGAACGAATTAGTAGGCCACATATAACTAAAACGAGGCAACAAATTAGTATGACGCAGCCACAATTTACGAAAACAAGGTAACGAATTAGTACAACATGGCCATAAACTACTAAAACGCAACAAATTAGTATGACATAGCCACAATTTATGAAAACAAGGGAACAAATTAGTACAACATGGCCACAAATGACTAAAACGAGGCAACAAATTAGTACGACGTGACCACAATTTACGAAAACGAGGGAACGAATTAGTACAACATGGCCACAAACTACTAAAACGCAACGAATTCGTACGACGTAGCCACAATTTACGAAAACAAGGGAACGAATTAGTACAACTTGGCCACAAACTACTAAAACGAGGCAACAAATTAGTATGACGTAGCAACAATTTACGAAAACGAGGGAACAAGTTAGTACAACTTGGCCACAAACTACTAAAACGAGGCAACAAATTAGTATGACGTAGCAACAATTTACGAAAACGAGGGAACAAGTTAGTACAACTTGGCCACAAACTACTAAAACGAGGCAACAAATTAGTATGACGTAGCAACAATTTACGAAAACGAGGGAACAAGTTAGTACAACTTGGCCACAAACTACTAAAACGAGGCAACAAATCAGTACGACGTGACCACAATTTACGAACACGAGGGAATAAATTAGTATGACGTGGCCACGATTTACTAAAAAGAGGCAACAAATTAGAATGACATGGACTACAATTCACTAAAACAAGGGAACTAACAGTACTAAAATTTACTAAACTAAGGGAATTAATTAGTACAACGTGGCCACAATTTACTAAAAGAGGGAACATTAGTACAACGTGGCCACAAAAGACTCGAACAAGGGAACAAATTACTACAACATGACCATTATTTACTAAAAAGAGGGAACGATTTAGTACAACATGGTCAAATTTTGCTAAAAAGAGGGAACGAATTAGTACAAGGTAGTTGCAATTTACTAAAAAGTGGTACAATGTCACTACAATTTACTAAAACGAGGGAACTAATAGTACTAAAATTTACTAAAACAAGGGAATGAATTAGCATGATGTGGCCACAATTTAATAAAAAGAGGGAACGAATTAGTGCTAAAATTTACTAAAACAGGGGGACCGAATTAGTACGACGTGGCCACAAAATACTCAAACAAGGGAACAAATGACTACAACATGACCACAATTTACTAAGAAGAGGGAACGATTTAGTACAACATGGTCAAAACAAGGTAATGAATTAGTATGTGGCCACAATTTACTGAAATGATGGAACAAATTAGTACAACGTAAATACAATATTTTTTTCCCCTTGCATACCATGTGTGGGGCTACGTATATTTCACACCGAAAAATAAAAACATTTTGGATAAAGAAACTGAAGTTCATTTGTTGGATCATTCAGGTTTTTCTGCATTAAAACATTTTCTTGACAGTCGTTTTCCTCACGATTTTGATTGGGACAGGTTTCGTGAGATTGTTGTGAGAAGTTGGACAAGGCTGTAATGAGGATCAGTTGGATCCAATGTGACTCTTTTCCACACATTTGTCCGTCTCACACATAAATGTCAGCAATTTAGACTATTTGCATTCGCTCATGTGAGATGAATCAACAGACTTAAGATCTGACCAGACTTGTGTGACAAGTCTCATTCCTGTTTATTCCTGTACATTTCACAGTGTCAGTCTGGATGGTGGTGGTAGAATAAACCCGAGATCCAGTATTTGGGGTTTAAAAAGAAAGGATCGTTAAAAAAAAAATTTAAACAGGTGTGTGAGAAGCACCGGGACAGTGCATTGCGAGGCACTTACATGCTTTCAGAAGATGCTGTCTGTGTGCGATCATACGATTCTTTCATTGTTTACTAATGTGGGAAATGGCAGAAACAGGCATTTATGTTGCATTGATTTGTGTCAACTAACATGTGACACAATCCCATGATCAAAAATAAAGCTTCCTCTTTAAAACATCCAGAAGGCACACTTTGAAGTTACTTGAAGAATGAAATCTGAAAACTGAATCCAGTACAGTTATTGCTCAGAGATCTGCACATTCGTTTAAAGTGCCGCAAGATAATTGTGTGAGAATTAAAGGCCACCTGACAGTTTTCTACAGTATCCGTTGCTGGAGGGAAGGACTGTGAGATAGAGGTGAGTTGTGAATGGAAAATGGATCCAGTTGTTCAGGATCTGAACACGTGCACTGCCCGCACCACGTACTGCCGGCAGATCGGACACTCGTTCATGCGCTTGCCGCACTTTGTGCATGTGACCATGTGTCCGCACTCCAAAAGAACACAGTCAATGGGCGAGTCCATACAGATCTTACACAGGTTCTCCTCCACGGCCGTCCCAGGTCCGGCGTCTATAAAGAAAACAAGAAGTCATCACAAACTTAGAAGAATAACAATCAGTATGAAAAGAAACTAAAGAGTGCACGTGTGTGAATATCATGACATTTTGGTCAGGACATTAAAAATGCAATTTATAACATTCACTTAAAAGCATCTTAATTTTTTTTTTATGAGTTTTGATATTTTTTGGATGGGTTAAGTCAAAATGTCAATGTGGTACAACTGTCCTCTTCTCATAATGAAGAAAAAAACGTAGCTAGGCATAATTTTTTTATTATTATTACTTAAAAAAAATCGGTTAGGGTTAGTTTTTAAAGTCATGTCGTGCAACCAACTTGCAGGAAAGAAAGTCATATTATTTATTGACCTTGACACATAGTGTCAGATAATTTGACCTGATAGAGCAAGTTGTAAAATGTCACATGGTAAAACTCCCAAAATATTATTTGGGGACAAAATATAAAATGTATAAACCTTTTGAAAATGATTGAGATTGTATTTAAGGTGTAGAAAAAAAATGTTATTAATTTTTATGGTCACACCATATAAACATTTTAGGTCAAAAGTGGTTGAAATTGTTGTTGAAAATGGTATTAAAGTTTTTCGTAACCAACATGAAAACCAATTATATTTCTATTAATTTCTATGAATTTGACACATACTGTACATATTCATGAATTCCACCTGCAGGCTTACCAATTATGTGCATTGCTGACTGATTAAATTATTCATAGCTTCACAGTAAAATGGACATAAAACTTGACAAATTAAATGAACACTTAAAATATTAAATGAGGTCATAAGAAATAAACTCACCTGTGCCTTCTGTGGCATTAGACACTGTAAAAATGAAATACAGTCCATGTTAATGAACAGAAATGATACATTATATATTTAGGCATACTTTAGAAAATGTGGTCATGTTTGCCCAGGCCACTAACTGCAATACCACACTACCCTTTAAAAATATGCCAAACCTACAGGTCACACTGGAAAAAACAGCGCAAACCAAACTATAAAAAAATAACACATCACTGTGACAGTGCTGAGCTGAACACTCAACACTGTACAAACTGAGCCCTCATTCTCATGCTGATGCATCTGATCACACCAATCTCTTTACCCATGTTCTGCAGGTCCTTCTGGTCGTGGTACAGACGCGTGACTCTCTCCATCAGCTCCCATTTCTCACAGCAGCCCTTATAGTCGACGAAGTTCCTGGCGAGAATCTCCTTCAACTGCCGGACACTCAGAGCCTCAATGTCCTCCACTGATCGGAGGTCAGAGAGAGACGCCCGTCGCCCCGGAGCCAGCACTTCCTCAGAGTCTGAAGACTGACACAGAGAAAGACAGCATGCAAACATCTGTTTATCTAGGCCTGAGAGGTAAATGATCTCTTGGCGTCCCAAATGCATGCAAACATCCCTCCACTGAGAGTGAAAGCCGACTTCAGAGAACAAGAATCTGCCAAATCAAGGACAAATGCTAGAAAATGAAAGTGTGTCATTTTACTTTCACTTTTGCTGATTTAGAAACAGGTTTTAACCCGCAACCACAAAGCAATCCAGAGATGAGCAAAAAGCCAAATTAGTTTTGCTGTCAAGTTTGGCCGACATAACACAAACTGACACTATGAACAGAAAGATGTGACATGCCAAGATAGATGCAGAAGGAGATTAGAAAACACACACAGATTAATCGATTAATGAAAGGCAGTGTGAGGACAGTGTGTAACTCCACATCCTGCTATTATGTCAACATTATATGCTAATGCTAGGGTACAGATAACATGCAGTGTTCATTAACATCATGGTTTAAAGGTCTTGTTTAGATTACCTCTAAACTTCAGGCTTTTTATGATGATAATGAGAAGTATTATGTGTCATAACACTGGCCTTCCACCACACGGTAAATGTTGCGCTTATCTTTCTTAATGTAGCATTGAAAGACAGAGCATCCGTATTTGACCAACAGAGAGACTGTACATCAAATTCAGGAATGAAAGAACAAGGGGAGCCACATTAGGGTTGTGCAGATAGACGATAGTATTGTGTATCGTCGATAGTCAGAGATATCACATGTGGCTGATGCCTTTGACGATATCAAGCCTATTATTATTATTGTCCAATTAATATTAGGGCTTATTTGTCCCATCATATTTCTTTTTATGCTTTTTTTACAATGTTGCACGCTATAACCAATCACAAACGATTCTGTTGAGCTTATGAATGCAATGACCAATCAGAGGCATTCACGTAACAGAAACAGTGGTGAAAATCACTGAAACGGTGGAGTTTTGTTGTTTATTGCATGCGATCTCTGATTGAATTCTGCTCTCTCGCGAATTCTCTCATCATAAACGACGCAGATGTACGTGCAATGCAAGTACAGGAGATAGCTTCACTGATTATAACGGGAGTGTTTTTTAAAGTGCATAAACTCGCACTAGACTGAAGTCAGTGATGATGTTATTTGATAATGTAAATGTTCTTTGCTCGTTTTCTGTAGCTGCTGTTTGAATAGCAGGAATGGTAAGCATTATAATTAATTACAATGATTTTATTAAATTGTGATCTTGATAAATACAAATACAGGCAGTTGGAGTTCCTGGAGTTGGTTCACTCTCCAGCTATGAAACTAAGTAAATAATTAAATAAATTAGCATTCGTATATCGGCGATTTCACAGGTTGACTATGGAGCATATCGCCCAACACTAAGCCAAAACAATTAAAACACACGGTCAAAAGAGCCCATCCACCAGCCAAAGAAATGAAAATCCACCTTATTTATTTAGTAAACGCATGTTATCTTTTTTTTTGGACTTCATAATGTTTAATCAAAACGACGTTAACTCAATCTTCTGGTGAAAATGACAGACTCCTCTCTGGTGACATATGCAAGAAGAAGGCATCTGGACGTGAAAATGTTGAATATCAATCCACTAATTGACTTGTGATGCAGTCTAGACTCATAAATCACACCGTATTCATTCATCCAGGCCAGAGGAGAACCGGTCCTCCGACTGATGCTGGTTTTTCCTCAAGGTTTTTTTTTTTTTCTTTCTTTCTACATTTCTTTCACCTGATGGAGTTTTGGTTCCTAGCCACTGTCGCCTTTGGCTCGCTTAGCTGGGGTTTAAAAGACTCTTTAATATTCAGTATCATTATTGATTTGACAGCATAAGAATAAAACTTGAACTGACTTGAGCTGAATGACACTATTGTGTTCTGTAGAGCTGCTTTACAGCTGAATTGACTGTTTCATAACTGATCAACTTTACATATTTGTTGAACTGAATGGAATCAACCTGAACTGACTAGAGCTGCACTGAAACAATCTGTATTGTATAAAGCGCTATAGAAATAAACGTGACTTGACTTCCTCCAATCATTTAGTCCAGACCCCAACAATCGACTGCAAGCACACATTCAGTTTTAAGTGCAACACCCTCATCGATGGGTAGAATCAAATCTCAGACCCTTTTTCCCCCCGATAATCCATTATTCGTCACAAGATTTGTTGCTACTTCCATTTATTGTGACTTTTCACACTAGTACTTTTCACCCCATATGTGAAAGATCAGTTGATCTGAATCACAAAACTGGTCTCAATGGCTTCATTCACTGGGAATGGATTAATCCCGATCTTTACCTAGTTGACAGAATCTTGACAGAGTCTTCATTTATGCATGAACTATCACTTTAAGATGTGAAAAGAGTAAAACAGACTTTCAAAGAAGCAGTGATTCATCCCAGCCTGCAGCCAAGCTTTTCACTCTCCAGCTATGAAACTAAGTAAATAATTAAATAAATTAGCATTCGTATATCGGCGATTTCACAGGTTGACTATGGAGCATATCGCCCAACACTAAGCCAAAACAATTAAAACACACGGTCAAAAGAGCCCATCCACCAGCCAAAGAAATGAAAATCCACCTTATTTATTTAGTAAACGCATGTTATCTTTTTTTTTGGACTTCATAATGTTTAATCAAAACGACGTTAACTCAATCTTCTGGTGAAAATGACAGACTCCTCTCTGGTGACATATGCAAGAAGAAGGCATCTGGACGTGAAAATGTTGAATATCAATCCACTAATTGACTTGTGATGCAGTCTAGACTCATAAATCACACCGTATTCATTCATCCAGGCCAGAGGAGAACCGGTCCTCCGACTGATGCTGGTTTTTCCTCAAGGTTTTTTTTTTTTTCTTTCTTTCTACATTTCTTTCACCTGATGGAGTTTTGGTTCCTAGCCACTGTCGCCTTTGGCTCGCTTAGCTGGGGTTTAAAAGACTCTTTAATATTCAGTATCATTATTGATTTGACAGCATAAGAATAAAACTTGAACTGACTTGAGCTGAATGACACTATTGTGTTCTGTAGAGCTGCTTTACAGCTGAATTGACTGTTTCATAACTGATCAACTTTACATATTTGTTGAACTGAATGGAATCAACCTGAACTGACTAGAGCTGCACTGAAACAATCTGTATTGTATAAAGCGCTATAGAAATAAACGTGACTTGACTTCCTCCAATCATTTAGTCCAGACCCCAACAATCGACTGCAAGCACACATTCAGTTTTAAGTGCAACACCCTCATCGATGGGTAGAATCAAATCTCAGACCCTTTTTCCCCCCGATAATCCATTATTCGTCACAAGATTTGTTGCTACTTCCATTTATTGTGACTTTTCACACTAGTACTTTTCACCCCATATGTGAAAGATCAGTTGATCTGAATCACAAAACTGGTCTCAATGGCTTCATTCACTGGGAATGGATTAATCCCGATCTTTACCTAGTTGACAGAATCTTGACAGAGTCTTCATTTATGCATGAACTATCACTTTAAGATGTGAAAAGAGTAAAACAGACTTTCAAAGAAGCAGTGATTCATCCCAGCCTGCAGCCAAGCTTTTTCCCACGCTCACAGAACCCACATGGAAGCAGAAGACATTCTTTAAACTGACTCTGCTGACAACGGCATAAATCATCTTTTCATTGCAGAAGAATGAGAGAGAGATTCCTAGGCATTCTGAAGTGCGACAGGTCACTGTTCTGTCCTCTGCCCCATTTAACGCCCCAGACAGCGCAGCAGCAAGAAGAGGAGGAGAGGTGAGGAGTTTCAGGAGGTACCTGCAACTCCTGCTCCACCTGCAGCTCAGCGTCCATCTCGCTTTCAGCTGTCGCCTCAGCCAAGCTCTAAGGGTCAAAGGTCACAGCCAACACAGTTTAACACAGCTGTGCTCCCTATCTAACTCACTTTAAGTTACAACAGATATTTTGCACACTCCTAAGTGTTCTTAAGAGACAGTCTGTGTCAAAAGTGAGTCACACAAGTCATTTTAAAGCTGTGCTTTAACGTGCTGTGTGAACCAAACCCAGAAGTGAAGCACATGCAAGCGGCTGTGTGCATAGATGAATTTTAAAATTCAATTCAAAAACAGATTCAAAAACAGATGAATGGTTTCCCAAAAAATATTGAGCAGCAAAAACTGTTTTCAAGATTTGGTAATAATAAAAAATGTTTCTTGATCAGATCAGCATATTAGAATGATTTCTGAAGTATCATGTGACACTGAAGACTGGAGTAATGATGCTGAAAATTCAGCTTTGATCACAGGAATAAATTACATTTTACAATATATTCACATTAGTGCTGTCAAAATTAGTGTTAACACAGACGATTAATTTTTCCACTTTAAAGGCATTAAAAATATTTAACGCAGTTAACGCAGGGGCGGAGCTAGGTTTGGCCACCCCACTCACAGCTTCTGTCTCTTTTTTTCTTGACAAGAATGGCGTTTTTTTAGAGGCAGAACATCTTTACAAAAACATCAAACAGGAGACTTTTTAGACGTGCACTCCACTTTGCTTCAGTGCCAGGCACAAGTCAAACGAGCACGGAAAACAGAACAGGTGACGAGGAGCTTCATTAGAACAACAGTGAACTGCAGTCAGATGAGATGTTGTCAGGACATTATGTCAGTAAAAATAAATTTTTCTGTCCTGTCAGTCGTTATACTGTGCTCGTAGCATGTGCTCTTCAATTGCACGCACAAATACGGCGGCGTGCGCTGTAGCCTGTATCATTTCTTAAATTTCATAAATCATTAAAGCGCAAGTGAAATTACGAGCACGCATGTCAGATACACATCACGTTCAGCAGTGGCAGCTCTTAAAGTAATAGCAGCCAAATAACCTAACCAGCTGCTGTGACGTCTGTTAATCAAAGAACAAAAGAAATAAAAAATGAAATCAATAACTTTTGTAGCATTAAGTATTCATCTATATTTAATTCACAATTTAGTGTTGGATAACTTTATTCAATTTCTGTACATTTCCTACTTGCTAAAGGACACAGGCAAATATGGCATTTATAATAAACGGGTTTATGTGAAGGTTGTTTTAAGTTCACTTAAATTGGAAGCTGTCATTTTTAAAAGTCTAATAAATGTTAAAATTGATAGCTCTCAATTATAGTAATGTTGAATGGCTATAGTCAATGGTTAAATATTAGGAAAAAAGAACTTCCTAGAGGAATTTTTATGACTCGCCTTCAGTCATAAAAAAGATGCCATTAAATACTAAGCATATACTATCTTTATGTTATTTCTACATTCATTTGAAGACTGAAATCGTGGTTCATTTCAGAAAAATTTTGTGCGATTAATTTGTTTAGTTTTTTTAATCGACTGACAGCACTAATTCACATGGGGATGGTTATTTTAAATTGTAATAATATTTCACAATATTACTGTTTTTACAGTGTTTTTCATTAAATAAGTGGCTTCTTTCAAAAATATACATAAAAAATATAAGTTTTCCTAACCTCTGACCAATAGTGCAAGAAGTAGGGATGTAACGATTAACCGCGAGCCGGTTGAAAATCGATTTAAATATGTGACGATTCAAATCGGTTGAGATGCTAAACAAATCGCGATTCATTTAGGGGCAGGAGTTTATATGAATGCATGTCTGAGGGGAACTTACTGTCTTTAGAAAAGTTTAGATGGTATTTTTTCTTTTCATCTTGCCTCTGTATAATGCATATTAAAGTTCATAAGTGCATTAAAAATATTTAACGCAGTTAACGCAGGGGCGGAGCTAGGTTTGGCCACCCCACTCACAGCTTCTGTCTCTTTTTTTCTTGACAAGAATGGCGTTTTTTTAGAGGCAGAACATCTTTACAAAAACATCAAACAGGAGACTTTTTAGACGTGCACTCCACTTTGCTTCAGTGCCAGGCACAAGTCAAACGAGCACGGAAAACAGAACAGGTGACGAGGAGCTTCATTAGAACAACAGTGAACTGCAGTCAGATGAGATGTTGTCAGGACATTATGTCAGTAAAAATAAATTTTTCTGTCCTGTCAGTCGTTATACTGTGCTCGTAGCATGTGCTCTTCAATTGCACGCACAAATACGGCGGCGTGCGCTGTAGCCTGTATCATTTCTTAAATTTCATAAATCATTAAAGCGCAAGTGAAATTACGAGCACGCATGTCAGATACACATCACGTTCAGCAGTGGCAGCTCTTAAAGTAATAGCAGCCAAATAACCTAACCAGCTGCTGTGACGTCTGTTAATCAAAGAACAAAAGAAATAAAAAATGAAATCAATAACTTTTGTAGCATTAAGTATTCATCTATATTTAATTCACAATTTAGTGTTGGATAACTTTATTCAATTTCTGTACATTTCCTACTTGCTAAAGGACACAGGCAAATATGGCATTTATAATAAACGGGTTTATGTGAAGGTTGTTTTAAGTTCACTTAAATTGGAAGCTGTCATTTTTAAAAGTCTAATAAATGTTAAAATTGATAGCTCTCAATTATAGTAATGTTGAATGGCTATAGTCAATGGTTAAATATTAGGAAAAAAGAACTTCCTAGAGGAATTTTTATGACTCGCCTTCAGTCATAAAAAAGATGCCATTAAATACTAAGCATATACTATCTTTATGTTATTTCTACATTCATTTGAAGACTGAAATCGTGGTTCATTTCAGAAAAATTTTGTGCGATTAATTTGTTTAGTTTTTTTAATCGACTGACAGCACTAATTCACATGGGGATGGTTATTTTAAATTGTAATAATATTTCACAATATTACTGTTTTTACAGTGTTTTTCATTAAATAAGTGGCTTCTTTCAAAAATATACATAAAAAATATAAGTTTTCCTAACCTCTGACCAATAGTGCAAGAAGTAGGGATGTAACGATTAACCGCGAGCCGGTTGAAAATCGATTTAAATATGTGACGATTCAAATCGGTTGAGATGCTAAACAAATCGCGATTCATTTAGGTGTAGGAGTTTATATGAATGCATGTCTGAGGGGAACTTACTGTCTTTAGAAAAGTTTAGATGGTATTTTTTCTTTTCATCTTGCATCTAGTTCATATGTGCAGCGCTTCTTTGTTTACAGCGGAAACGCTTTAAGCGCCACCTGCTGGCAGAGAGTGAATCTGCGTCTCATTCAGCTCATCTGCTGTTTCTGTTTCATGCAGATATTTTTATGTATAGTTTCACAAAACTGAAGTCAAATCATTCGTGAATCGAATCGAATCGTGAGTTGAGTGAATCGTTACATCCCTAGCAAGAAGGAGAGTTTTTTTTTTTTTTACCTGTCCATCTTCTGTTGCTTGAGTCTGAGGCCCCAGTTCTGTTGTGCCATTGTCCGTCGATGGGCTCACGGTTATGATTGGAGTGTTAGGTTCCTGGGTGGTCACTGGGGGTGGAGGAATGTGCGTGTCAGATGTAGGCGTCTGCTGGCCGAGAACCAGCTCGACCAGCTCCTCCTTCTCGCGGCACATCTGCGTGGGGATCTCGTGCAGGTGGAGGTAGTCTCTCAGATCCTTTACCTTGAGCTTCATCAGCTCGGCTCGCTCGAACAGGATGCCCCGGAAACGCTGGCAGGTGTGGCACAGCCATGGCTGGAGGTCCTGTGGAGTGAAGCAGTGGCTACAGTAGCTTTTCTTGCAGTCCATGCAAACGTGCTGCAATGAAAAATGAGAGGGTGAGTTTTAAAGCCAGGTTTAGACTGGAACACAATGTCTAATCTTACTTGTGTTTAACACCATTAAGAACATTGCATTTTGCAATTGACAAGGACATTTACAGGGTGTAAGAACTGGGTCAAAAGCTACGCTCTATTGCATCATTCTAAGCACATCCTCTGGTCATGACATTATGTCTGATAAACAATGAGCTGCACTGGATAATGCCAAAGGAGTCTGGGAAGTTTCTTCAGGAAATATTAACACAACAGAACTCAAGTCTAGTGTTGTGGAAGTCACGATGCCATTCAGTAATTGACTGCACGTAATCTCATTTCCTTCCACTCACTACTACTTTACTGCCTGAAATCCACATTCCTGTAAAATAAATGCACCCCAAAATCATTCATTCTCATTCAATATTCAGATGTGAAAACCAACCTGGAAAGAGACGTGAGGATTTGGGGAGAAAAATGAAAGATTCTTAGTGCATTCCAAGGAATTTCATTCATGGTTTATATCGTAAATTAAATCGGAAGAGCAGACCACAAATGCACTGTGTATGTTGTCTTTTTTCATTTACTTAAAGCAGAATACAAAGGAAACATGAAAATAATCAGGAGGAAAATAATGCAGCGGGCTGAAAAGAGCTATTCTATAGGCTAGATATTGTTGTTATATCATGCCACATTAATATACCAAACACAATTTTATTCTACTAACTTCTGAAAACAGAGAATAAATGAAAATTTACAGCCCATTCAGTCAAAATGACAGATGAGGATTATTTTTTTAGCGCAATCTTATGATTTGAAAGTCATTTTGAGTGGAACTTCCCCAAACCGGAATTGCCTCCCACAATTTAAATGCAGTAGGAAAAAGGTGGATACAACAAGCACCTCCCCAGTCACGTGTGAACACGCCCCTTACTTGTGATTGGTTACAAGCGTGTTTTGGTGCTCGGTTCGATCCACTTTGAACAGCGTTTCTGTTCTCAAATCTCTTACTGCACCTTTAAGGCCATGACACAAGTCGGCCAAACTTTTGCTGTCGCTAAGCATCAGTCGGCCTAGTTTTCATGGTTTTTGCCACCAGTTCTTTCATGTTGGTTTGGTGTGTCACAGCCTTTACGTAGGTGAAATATTTTCTGAGGTCTAAGCCTGGTAGACGTTTCTGTAGAAGCAACACATCAATGCAATTCCAGCTTCATTTATAGGAAACTCTTTGCATTACCAAATTACTGGTGAAGCATTACACCACCAAGAATTTTAAAGTGAAATACTCAAACAGAGTGAAACTGGAAACTGGTTCTGGAAAAAAAAAAAAATGCCATTCATTTTCTCAACAATAGGGGAATTGATTTTTAATGATCACCTACAGTATAAACTTTTAAAGACAAACTTACTGTGATCTTCAAGGTTGTTAATCAATGGTAAATGCTTTTGTTGAAGCCATGAGACTACATTATTTAAAGGGGTCATATGATGCGATTTCAATTGTTCCTTTCTCTTTGGAGTGTTACAAGCTCTTGGTGCATAAAGAAGATCTGTAAAGTTGCAAAGACTAAAGTCTCAAATCCAAAGAGATATTCTTTATAAAAGTTAAGAGTCAGCCACACCTACCTAAAACGGCTCGTTCTAACACACCCCCACATATCTACCTCACTATGTGGAAATATTAGCATAATGCCGCTGAGCTTTGTAAAAATCGACGCGTTTCAAAAAGGCGGGGCATAGAGGAGAAACAATAATGTACAGTATGTGGAAAATAATGTGTTTTTTTAACTTTAAACCACATAAACACATTTCATTACACCAAATACACAAAATGTTCTTTTTAGCAGCATCATATGACCCCTTTAATATTGCCACTGAAAACTACATTGCCCATGATTCTGCAAATTAAATGAAAGCCTCCACTCACTCCCATGAAGCACTGCGAATGACAGAGTCAGTCTTATGCTCTCAAGTCTCAAACTACTTAAATGTTTGTGTATATATATGCATATATTAGAACAAACCTAAAATATATTGTTTCTAAATGCATAATTAACATCATTAAATAAATAGTTTTATATTTATCCATTGGTTTTTATTGCAATGCTTCATGGGACTGTAGTTCTTTCCCTCATTAAAGCCATTAAGAACACAGTGTTGAACCGTCATCTTTTTGTACAATTTTGAAATACGTTTTTTTAGCTTTAAATCAAAGTTTGTAATGTTGCTGTGATTCACCTATAGCTGCTTGGTTTGGTTAACGGCTTATAATGCGTCATGGGATGAGTAGTTTTCAAATCAGTTGTTGTAATACTGATTAATAATGGAACTAGCTGGTTTGGTTCAAGGCTTGGAAACTTTTTTTTTTTTTTAAATGCGTATTATTGACGTAAGAATAAGCTGCTGAAAAAAAACTGGGTGGTCACTACTGAGCTCTATTCAGATAACAATACTGGATGCGCTTTGTAGATGTCCTACCCACTAGTAAGTCTACTAACAGCTTGCATTCAAACATCAAAACCTTCCAATCCCATATCTTCAAACAAATCAGTTCAGGAAACCAGATCCCAATGTTACTCTACTCTTACGTAAGGTGTGTGTGCAGGAATGCCATGAACGTGGCGTGACAATGCACTACAGTAAAGAAGTGGTACAATGGCTGTGACATCGATATGCATCATCATACTGTCATTCGAGCCGGTTTACAAAGTGCATTCTGGATAATTAACGCTGGATGAGGATGCTCACACAATGATTCCAGTCACTCATTCAACTTGTCAAACAGAGGATGTATGGCAGCTATAAAGTTAATAAAGGTGGCTATAAACTGTAGCTCAAGCCCTTTCCTTCATCTGTCAGTGACATGAGGATGATGGGTAACACTTAAGTATCGAGACCAATTCTCACTATTAACTAGTTGCGTATTAGAGTGCCTATTATTAACATATTGACAGTTTATTAGTACTTATAAAGCACATATTCTACATGACCATATTCTACATCCATTCTAATCCTACCCAATACCTAAGTTTAACAACTACCTTACTAACTATTAATAAGCAGCAAATTAGGAGGCTCCAATAAGTGCAATATACATTACCAATAATGCATATCTGATCCCATATTTGGCAGAATTTAAAGTGCAGCTTAATTTTACATTTAGCAGATAAGTTTATTCAAAATATCAAAAGAAAGTAATGGACTTTTAGAGTTCTCTCTGGTTGTCTTCTGTTTGGAACTCTATTCAGGTCAGAAAGGCCCCTTTAGTGCTTTAAAATGCTGCCTTAGTAAGCAGCTCACAAGGTGTAGGATATTTTGTGTGTCTAGCAAAGTCTAATTCACCTGCATAAGGTTCTCAGCAGGTTAAGACAGTTTGTGGTTTTTAATAACATTAAACACGGGGGAATCTCCAGTGAAACGACTTGAGCACAGCCTTATGATCTGAAGCAGCACGGCCAGTTAGAACTGGAATAAACTCAACTAGACATTCTGACCTGAATAACTGTGAACCTTCACATGTGAACATCTAGAATAGTCTTAAGACCTGTTCACATGAATGTCGAGGCTTGTTTCGGTGTGTTGCAATTGGGTTCAACTTCAAATTTGATTACAAATAGAGTTTCACACGTTATACAATCAGCGCAATTTATGTGTGCTAACAGAATAAAAGTTCATCTGAAAATGAACATTATGTCATCGTTTACCTTCTTGTTGTTCTGTGGAACCTAAAAGAAGATACTTTAAAGAATGGTTTAAATCTTTTTGGACAAATACAATACAATTTCACTGAAATTTTGTAACCTACTAAGACAATCAAAAACATTGTATGTTTATGTGATCCATTTGAAATACTTAAACTATGAATCAAACAGTCAAATAATTCCTGATAGCTTATCTGAATTGTTCTTATTTTTCATCAAACAGTTACAAGATTTGTCTTTAACAAGCCAAAAAGAATGCATGTCACACCTCTGTTCATCAATTTGCACTGGCTACCAGTAGCTGCTCGCATAAAATTCAAGGCATTAATGTTTGCCTACAAAACCATCACTGGCTTTGCACCCCTTTACCTAAATACATTACTTCAGACTTATGTGCCCTCTAGAAGCTTGCGTTCTGCAAGTGAACAACGCATTATTGTGCCATCCCAAAGAGTCAAAACAAAAATGCAGTGCATGATCAAACATTTAGGTGAGATACTATGAATCAAACAGTCAAATAATTCCTGATAGCTTATCTGAATTCTTATCTGAATCTGAATAAGAATGAGTTCTTATTTTTCATCAAACAGTTACAAGATTTGTCTTTAACAAGCCAAAAAGAATGCATGTCACGCCTCTGTTCATCAATTTGCACTGGCTACCAGTAGCTGCTCGCATAAAATTCAAGGCATTAATGTTTGCCTACAAAACCATCACTGGCTTTGCACCCCTTTACCTAAATACATTACTTCAGACTTACTTACCCTCTAGAAGCTTGCGTTCTGCAAGTGAACAACGCATTATTGTGCCATCCCAAAGAGTCAAAACAAAAATGCAGCCTGCCCAACTCAATCCTAGCAGCTGAGTCCTTAGCCATATTCAAGAAACGGCTAAAGACACATCTCGTCAATCTTCATTTGACCCAGTAACTCTAGCACTCGCTATTCTATTTCTATTCTACTTGTTTTCTTTCTATTTATAAAAAAAAAAAAAACTTGACCCTTTAACACT